AATAACTTATTGGAATATAAAGAGCTGAATGAGCATGCCACCAGTGGAGAAAGGTGGTATTTTCACAGAATCAGTTATTTTCCCCATCCTTCTCTGTTTGCTGTCAATCAAAACATACCACTGACCATTTAGTTTAAAAAAAGAAAAGCAATATGCTTGTGCACATACACCAGTTACTTTATGTACAATAAAGAAACAGGGAAGGGGAAAATGAAAGAATTGAGAAAACTATACTGTAGTAGCTAGGATGCCATAGAATCAAATTCCAGTTTTCTAATTAAGAATGTATTCTTGGTCTGTAGGAACAGAGTTCTAGAGTAAAGCAGCAGGTTCCCTCTAGCGACACCTTCCGTCTGCTGCTGAAACACATCAATTGTAGCTTCATCCTCCGAGTCCAGCTGTGCAGGTGTGTCACTTTATTGATTGGCTGCCGTTCAAATGGGAATCTGATCTGCCTCACAGACAAACCCTCTCATTCACAACAGGCTTTTATTAGTTTATTAAGCCATGTATTCCTCGATCGTTGTTCTCAGTCTTGACTCCTTGGGCTTCTCAATGGCCATGCTGAACTCCAGAGTCTCCCCAGCTACCACTTCACAAAAGAGGTACCAGGTCCCTCAGAACCAGCACACGAGCAAGTACCAGGAGCAGCAGCAGAAGTGCTTCTTTTCTTGACTGAATAACATTCCACTATATAAAATATACATTTTTGTTTATTCATTCATCAGTTGACGGACATTTGGGTTGTTTCCACTTTTTGGCTCTTATGAATAACGCTGCTATGAACATTTGTGTACATATTTTTTGTGAACATGTATTTCAATTCTCTTAGAGGTATATCTACATCTCTACATCTAGGAGTCATGTGCTGGGTCGTATGGTAACGCTATGTTCAACCTTGAGAGGAACTGCTGGACTGTTTTCAAAGCGGCTACATCATTTTACTTTCCCACCATCAATATACGATGGTTCCAGTTTTTCCACATCCTTGTCAACGCTTGTTATTACGTGTTCTTTTGATTGCAGCCATCCTAGTGGGTGTGCAGTGGCATCTCGTGGTTTTGATTTGCATTTCCCTGATGGCTAATAATGTTGCACATCTTTCATGTGTTTATTGGCAATTTGTGTATCTTCTTTGGAAAAACGCCTATTCAGACTCTTTGCCCATTTTTAAATGTTATTATTATTATTATTATTATTGGGCTGTAAGAGTTCTTTATAAATATTCCAGATATAAGTCCCTTATCAGATATATGCTTCGAAAAATTTTCTCCTGTTCGGTAGGTCATCTTTTCACTTTCTTGATGGTGTTCTTCAAAGCCAATTTATCTATTTTTCCTTTTGTTGCTTATGTGTTTAGTATTCTATCTGGGAAACTACTGCCTAATCCAAAGTCATGAAAATTTACATCTGTTTTCTTCTAAGAGTTTTACAATTAAGTCTGCTCCATTTTGAGGTAACTTTTTTTATGCTGTGAGGCAGCAGTTTACAAGCATCTTATAATAATGTTTATTTTTTCATCTTTTTTTTTTTTGAGGAAGATTAGCCCTGAGCTAACTACTGCCAATCCTCCTCTTTTTGCTGAGGAAGACTGGCCCTGAGCTAACATCCATACCCATCTTCCTCTACTTTATATGTGGGACACCTACCACAGCATGGCTTTTGCCAAGCGGTGCCATGCCCGCACCCAGTATCCGAACCGGTGAACCCCGGGCCGCCGAGAGGCGGAACGTGCGAACTTAACCGCTGCGCCACTGGGCCAGCCCTCAAAGTAAAACTTTTCAACAAATTCAAAGTCCCAAAGTCTTTTGTAGCTCTTGAAATAGTGGTAATTTACCACTATTCTATCTACTTCTCTATAATCAAGAAAAGTGTTTAATCAATTCTTTTTTTTCCATGTTGTGAAAAGCTCAGTAATTTTTGAAGTTTTATTTTATACTTTACTCCTTCTTTTACTCCTAATGTAATATCAAGAAAATAACATTTCTTCTGAACAAAACTTTTGTCATTATAAATTAAGTACTGTGGTGTAACTGGAAAGTAATAAACAGGTCTCCATAGAGTTAATTTTATCTCTACTTTGTATCTTACCAGAATACTTTCAATCTTGTTTCAAATGTCCCATTTGTATTTTTTAGCTTAACTTTTCTAATTATTTTTCAGTCTGTGGGTGGGGAGAAATTAAAACTTTGAGCAAATTAATTCAGTTTCTACTTTAAGTCTGTAATTCTAGGTCTTCCCAGTAACCTACCAGAACAATTCCCCACTTTTTTTTTTAGCTTGGATTCTAATCTTGACTCTGTTAACTTCCTACCTCTGGCTATTTCCCAATAACACCCCAATCTCTAAAACCATGAAAATCTTCAAAGGCTTTTTTTCAATTGCTCACCAAGACATCCTCCACCTTAGCAATAAAGATCACATGAATTTCTCTAATACTTTGGAGCCATCGTCATGTACTCCAAGAAGAGGATGTATTGTGTTTCTGTTCCCCACACTTCCTCCGCCCAAGCTTATCCTTGGATTTTCACTGATTAGTACTTTCAAGCTTGCCTGCCTTAGCTCATGTCGCTCTTCCTTTTGTACTGGGGTAAACACTTGTATCATCATTTTAAAGGACGTGATTACTCTTTATCTGTGAGGAGTAGAACAAGAAGAAATCACTTGATTCAGATATTCTCAAGATTCCTAAAGGATTAGAGATCATTTCTCATTGTTCTACAAGCACTTACATGAGGAAGCATACAGACAAAAGGTAAGGTATAACTATTCTTTCCAATTGTTTGCTTGTATTTTACAAACTTAATCTTCCAAACAGATATGCCTTGGCTAGAGGTTCACAATCACATTTATTTATAAATAAGACGTTTCTTTGATTTGATTTCAGTAAAAAAAAATACTGTAAATAGTTAAAAAAAAACTTTCTTCTCTTTTTGGAATTGCATTTTTTTAGTTAACTTCTAAGACAAGAATTCTGAAAAAACTCCCTACTGTCTTCCTTTCTTGAGAATTAGAGTCATTACATTCATATTTAAATACTGTGTGTGTATATACATATATATACATAAATATTATATATTTAAGTATGTGTGTATACACATACTAAGCCATGTTTCTGTTTGAATAATATATATTTACATATTGTTACAAGAACATTATTTACTTCATGGACTTCTCTAGAGCTGAATCATTTCCTTTTTTAAAAAAGGACGGCTAACATCTAAGAACAAGAGAAAAAGCATTTCCCTTCAAATATTTAAACTACTCATTCTAAAAATAATCTATTCAAGAATTATTTCTACCCCACCCAATTCTCTAAACTAGAGAACAAGACTAACAACTCAGAGAGATTATTAATGCTTTAATTTCTATTTAGAAAAAACTATCATAACTTTCATACAATCTTTTTATTGCATAGGAGATGATTATTGTGTAAACTTGGGTTTGATTTCATCAATTTAGGATTTTTAGGTTTGATCTCTGAGATTCTGATACTATTTTTATTTTCAAAGCCTTAGTATCTCTAATATTTAGTATCTTTCATAATTAAACTTATTTGCTAGTGATGATAAATAAAAGAAACACGTTTCATTTCAAAAGGTTCATTTCAAATGTCTAAAAGTTTATCATCATCTCACTGTCTACCTTTAGAAATATCCCAAGAGTATCATATCACTTTAAAAGAATTCAATAAGTATATATCGGATTTACTTTATGCAAATACTTCTTTTAGTTAAAAGTCTTTCTATCTCGGTCAAATTTATAATCATAATAATTTTTTCTTTGTATTTTGCAAATGAAAAATTTACTATTTTATTACCTAAAAACATAGAGCACTTAAGTAAAGATATTGTAATCGTGATTCCTGGTTACTTAGCTAAGAATGTGTCATAATAAATGCCCAGATTTTCTTAAAACCCAAAATATCAAATACTGCATCAGGACATGGAAATTAAGATTCCCGATACATGATTTCTTTATATATGTGCCTAATTTTCTCTATCAAAACTGGTATATAGTTGTCATTCTTTTCTTCTCCTTCAGAAATATGATTAATAAAGTAGAAATAAGTATGATAATTTAGAAGCGTCTAAGGCAGTCCTGTGCAAAGAACTTCCTGTGATGAAGAAAATGTTCTATATGTGTGCTGTTCAATTTGGTAGCCATTAGCCACACATAGATATTGAACACCTGAAATGTGATAGAGCAACTAAAGAACTGAATTTGTAATTTTATTTAAATCTTAACTAATTTTAATTTACATAGTAGTATGTGGTTAGTGGCTACTGTATTGAACAGTACATGTTTAAGCTATTGAAATTATTAACCATTTTCACTTACAAATACTTCTGATATGGAGAAATGGTTTCTTTAACAAAAGCTATAAAAATAGATTTGTAGACCACAGCTTAACAGGAATGACTGTTGTCCTAATATGAAACTTTTTCTACCGTTGTAAGAAATTAGTAAAGTCCTGTTATTCACATGACACAGTGTGTCATCTCTAAGTCTAATCTAAGAAAAAGAACATTGTACAGACTACCCTAAAAAGACAACTGAGCAATCATTAATTATATATATGAATTAAAGAAGTGAATAATTCATTTATATTCTTTATAAGCAAATAAATAAATAAATACTATAGCATAGAAAGAGAAGGAATGCTATAGGAATTTCATGGTTAGGTTTTTCTTCAAATTGGTCAGAGAAAAGTCTATGGAGAGAATGAACCTTCAAGTGTTGAAAGAGTGAGAATCAGAAATGATTCAGAAAAAAGATATTCCAGGCACAATATGAAGCCTGAAAAGATAAAGAGAGGTAGAGGTATGTTTAGTTGACAAATTACATTCTTCTGAGAAGATACTGGATTTATTAAGCAGTTCAAAAATAAGGAAATAAAATAATGGAGGATTTTAGAAATGAAGGTCTTCTTTCTATTATTACTTCTAAGTCTTTAGGTGACTCAAATATATATTTGAAAATTAAAAGAACTTTTAAACCTGGTAGTCTTGAAGTCTCTCAGAGCTGTAGAAATGTATTCAGATAAATGTTTTTCCATGAGTGCTACTCTGATCCAGGCTCTACCCTAAAAGGAAGAAGAAAGAATCAAATATGAAAAACAAATTAGAAGTTAAAAAATATTTTGCCACTGTGTCATCAAAAATACACGCATTTTTAATATGGAAAGAATAACTCATTCAAAATATACATTTGATAAAGACTAAGAAAAATATTCAAGTAGATAAGAATAGGTAAATTTTTATTATGTATAGTATATGGTATATATTTTGTTTCTCTGAAGGTATAGGGTACAGCAAGTCAGATTAACTTTCTATCCTCTGAAGAGACAGAACCATTAATATTGAGCTACATGAGTTAGAGACTTCTTTTGAATCACATAATATAATCCTAAGACAACAGCACTTCAGTGCCCCAAATCAACATGATAATTAAAATGAGTCCCCTTATAAAACATGAGGAACAGAGTCCATTCTCATTAATAAAAACAATCACTCTCACACCACTTATTTAAGAGAATTTCCCATCTATCCTTCCAGAGAGAGGTATTACACAATTTCATTATTTATCATGCATGGAAATCACGAGTTACCGAATTTGACGCCCCCAGAGAATTCTAAAAATGATAACCAAATATTTAAACCAGAAAAATGAAATAAACAACAATACCCCAGAAGCATATGCTAGAACAGGATCACAGCAACAGGAGATTCTGACTAAATGTGAATAATTTTACTGTTGAAAAGAGGTAACATCATTCAATAGTTGAGACTAGCCAGTTAATATTATTTTTACTATCCAAAGCATTTCTTCTGAACCTTTTGTTTCGAATGAAAGAATGTAAGAGATCATATTTGTAGGGAGAATTTTATAATCCAATTACTTTATTTTTATTCAACCCGTTCACAAATCTCCAGAAAATCCATTAAAGATTGACTAAATAGAAAATCAAAACATTGCAATGGCAGTTGAGAATAAAGATGACGCTAATCAATATTTATGATGGTTGACCACCAGTATGGAAGGAGAAAAAGCATTCTTTAGACTACAACTCAAGAGAATTCACCAAACTCTTGCATAGGAAGAATCAAAAAGCAGTCAATTTAGACAGTGGTAAAACCTATCAAGCTAGAAGCAGCAGTAGTGCTGGGAAATAAAGGAATGATAAAGGTGTAGTAAGCACAATCATCAACTGGCCCATCAAGCTCAAAATGTCTTTCAGTTTGTCCACTGCTCAGTCCATTGTTCCTGCTAAGTAAGCCTAGGGGAACATACAATTTAGCTGTGGCTGACTGGAACAGAAAGGAAGAGACAAGCTGTTGGCCAGCAGTCTCAAGATTCTCTCTTGAAATTTCATCTAAAATACAGAGAGACTAGTAGTGGTGGGTTGAATCAAAAGGCTACAATTTCACCAAAACAGCAGAGAATGTTGCTCTCCAGAAAAAGTTAGACACAGGAGACTGTGCTATTGCTAGATAAGCAATGTGGGGAAAGTCCTGCTTCCTGATTTATTAATGTCAATCCATATAAAACTTGGCTGCACCTAGTTTCCTGTCCTTGGATGTTTGTGGAATTCTCTGTTATATTGTAATAAATTGTGCTAATTTTAAGTTTCTTTTCTTTTGACAAAAGAACTTTTACTAGAACAGAAGATAAACAGACTTATTAAAGATTGTTGGAGCTATGAAGTGAGAAAGTTGAAAACTTAGATTTAACATTTTACTTTATCAGTTAGATAATGGTAAAAGTAGTCAACACTGCTTTAGAATGCAATTAATATATGCTTGACTCTGTCTTAAGAGCTTTAGATACATTAAGATGTTTAATCCCCCCAAGAATCCTGTGTTAGGTTACAATACTATCCCTACTTTACTATATGAGGAAACAAATAGACACAACTAGAAGACGGGAAGCTGACTGCACCACCAAACCTACCAACCTAATTGAATTAATACCCATACATTCTACCTTCCCGCCTGTTTCAGGGGATGAACAGAAATCGTTGAAGAGAGTGAAAAGACAAATCACAGAGTGAGCAAAGACATTTGCATTATATGTCTGACAAAAGACTCTCATTCATAAAATACAAAGAATTCTTACAAATCCATAAGAAAAAGACAACTCAATTTAAAAAATGGGCCTGGAAGGGGAAGATTTTTAACTACAGATTCAATTTCTTTAGTCAATATCAGAATATTCAGATGTTTTCTTCCTTTCTGTGATAGTTTTGTAAGTGACATTTTTCAAAGAATTTGCCCATTTCATTTAAATTTTCAAATTTGTAGGTGTGAAGTTACTACCTCTTTTAGGATTTTTAATGTCTGTAGGGTCTATGGGGTTGGCCTCTTCTTTGTTCCTAACACTGGTAATTTATAATCTCTTTTTCTTCTTGAATAGTCTTGCTAGAAGCTTATCAATTGTACTAACCTTTTTAAAAACACAAACTTTTGGGGGCCAGCCCGGTCGTGTATTAAGTTTGTGTGCTCTGCTTCAGTAGCCTGGGGTTTGCGGGTTCAGATCCCAGGCATGGAGCTACATACTGCTCACCAAGCCTTGCTGTGGGCATCCCACACACAAAATCGGGGAAGACTGGCACAGATGTTAGCTCAAGGACCATCTTCCTCAAGCAAAATACCCCCACAAACTTGTGGTTTTGTTGATTTTTGCTAGTATATATTTGTTTTAATTTAATTGGATGTTTGCTCATTATTTTCCTTCTACTTTATATTTATTACTTTTCTCTTTTTTACAGCTTCTTGAGATGAAACCTTTGATCACTGATTTTCAAACTTTATTTTTTAAATATATAAAATCCTATTTAAGCCTATATATTTTCCTCTAAGCATAAGTTTTTCTTTGGCATAGTTTCATTATCCTTACTGTCCAAATATTTTTCAATTTCAATTGTAGTTTCTTCTTTCATCCATGAGTTATTTAGAAGTCTTTCTCAATTTTGACTCATACAAACATTTTTTAGTTATCACTTTGTTAATGATTCTAGCTTAATTCTACTGTGGTTAGAGAACACACATTATATGATTTCAATCATTTGAAATTCATTGAGATAAATTATAGCTCAGCAAATGACCAATTTTTGTATAAGTTCTGTGTATGTTTGGTAAGAATGAATATTCTGCAGTTTTCTATTTTGATTTTCTTATATATACTCCAGTTCTCTAGACTTACTAATCTTTATATTTTCTTGAACCTATTATAATTACTTAAAAGTCTATTATCTGCATCTCCCATAGGTCTGTTTCAATTGTCTTTTCTATATTTCTTTGGGTCATTTGATTTTGTTTTCTGATATGTCTGTGATTTTTTGATTGAGTACTGGACATTGCATACAGAAATTTGTAGCAGCTCTAATATTATCTTTGTCTAGAGTAGATTTATTTTTCTTCTGGGTAGGCAGACAGTATACTTGAAAACTACCTCGTACCATTTAAGGGTACCACTTTTGGGCCTTTTTGGACTGGTCTTCATCTAAATTTCCCCTACTCCCAAAGCATAGCCTTTTTGGGGTCTCAAAAGCACGGAATGTTTACGGGGACCCTCCAACTTGTTTGACCCTGCACTCTAACCTCTATCTCTGCAGAACAAGACTGTGAAATCTTTAATCAGTTTTTCTAGCCTCCTACCTGCTGCTTTCAGCTTGGTTTATGAGACTTGCTCTGTGCTCCAGGTGACTAAGAGTTTGTAAACACCTCACAGGAAAACTGCATGTATAATTTTAGGCACATTCTTTTGCAGTTCTCTCCTCTCTATTAAGTCCTGGTTTCACTGGCAGTTCCAAGCTCCAACTTCTCTTTCTCTAGCCCAGGGAAACTAAAACCACCCCCCCCCCCCCCCCCCCACCAAGACTTTCTGCTTAGCCTATATACTTACGACGGGAACAGACAAATGCCCTTGGGCTAAAAGCCAAGATGACTATGGGGCTCACCTCAGGTACTGTCCTTCTCCCCAGGATTGCAGACACTTAAGTTATCACGCCTTGGTTCTTCTCTATGTCTTAAATTTGTTGCTTTGTATATTTTATCCAACCTTTATAGTTGTTCTTGGCAGAAAAGTTCCTCTGATACAAGCTATTCTGTTATCACTAGAAGCAGAAACTGATTCATTTCTCACCTCCAGGATCATCCCTTTTTTAGACTCCATTATACCCTTCTAACTTGACTTTCTGCTCCCACTCTCCTTTCTATGCATTCTCCATGTCACACCCAGTTGATCTTTCAAAAATGTAAATCACATTACAGTACTCTACTGCTTTAAGAGAATTAAAAGGAAGAAACCCTCAAGTAGCTCCCCATTGCACTGAGAATAACATCCAAACTCTTAATCATGACCACATCTTCTATTCTACACCTTTCTTCCTCTGCTTAATGCTTGCACAGCACATTTCTTCCCATAATTTGCATCCTGGCTCAAATATTACTGCCTCAAAGAAGCCTTCCCTAACCACCCTATCTAAAAGAGCATGCTCTCTTCCACCACTCCTATCACTTTCTAACTTCTTAACTGGTTTCATTTTTTTCATTGGCCCTGAGATTATAATATATATTTATCTTTTTGCTGTATCACTAAAATGTACCTAACATTTGCTCTTTTCCATCTTTTTCACCACTGTCACTGTATCCTCAGTATTCATAATAGCTCCTGGCACACAGTAGGCACTCAATACATACTTGCTGAACAAGTGGATAAAACTAAAGTAGATAAGTAACTTGCTCATAGCTGCTAAGCACTGGAGTCATCAGTGAGAAGTGCAGAAAAGGAATGATATGAGGAAAGCAGTATTTAAGAAAGATTCATAAGAAGTTAGTATTTAAAATGGATAGAATGTAGGGCCAGCCCTGGTGCCCTAGTGGTTAAGTTCAGTGTGCTGTGCTTTGGCAGCCTGGGTTCGGTTCCTGGGCGCAGACGTACACTGCTCTGTTAGCAGTCATGCTGTGCTGGCAACCCACATATTAAAAATAGCAGACGATTGGCATGGATGTTAGCTCAGGGTAAATCTTCCTCAGCAAAAAAAAATTAAAATGGACAGAACGTAAAATAAATGGGCAGAATCAGAATATCTCTGGTTTTGGCCTGGGAAACTGTTTCTTTATTTTTAAAGCTCCCCAAGTATTTCTAACATTCTTCCAGGTGTGGAGCCATCACAATGAAGAACCAGGGAAAGAAAATATCCAGTGGTGGTTAAAAGAGAAGAGAGATTTGTGAGTCAGTAATAGAAAATGTTCATAAAAATGGCCTCTTTGTAAAATTATATCTTACCGTAAAGTTCTAGTATTTGATAACTCTGGTGTATCTATGATTACTACCTCCTCTGCCTCTTTCAGTAGAAAACTTGGCTAATCTGCCTCTGGGACACAGTACTGACAAGGCCAGCTTCTGAACAAACAAAAAAGTAAACAAGATGAGACCAAGAAAGACTAGGGAAGATTAGGGATGTATGTCATAAGAATGTATTAAGGACTACATTCACAGCTGTGACATGGTATAGGTGTTCATCAAAATTTACTGGATGGAGGATGCCTGGATATACGGATGGCTGATGTGACTAGCATATTCGGAAATTGGTCTCATATGTTAAATTCAATATTAGAAGGAATGTAGAAGGCAAGCAACCACAAATTAGAGAAACCTAACTTAGTCAAAAACAATAACTGTTCTTAAAAATAAAGAAAAAGAAAAAAACCCACACATGATATGCGGGAAGGTAGGAAGAACTCAAGAAAAGCACAGAGCTCATAATTTGAGGCTAAAAAATAAAAAATGAAAGAGGAAGGATTTCCTGAGCTTGAAATCAGTTGGAATACTAAGAAAATCCAATGGAAATATCTCCAAGATCAAAAAAAATAGTAACTAAGGATCCAATTAGGGGGGTTTCTGTCAGAGATCATATGTTATGCTTATAAGTAATTAGCCCAATAACAGATGGGGAAGATGGGTGAGTTCAGAAGACACTGAAATAAGTACCTGTTGAGATGAAGTTATTTTTCTGTGTGCTAATTCTAGTCTGAAACCTAAGTAAGTTGATGTATAGAAAGCCCATGTCCCAGAACTCCTGCATATTGTGGAAAGAATAGCTGCAAATATACCTGACACAGAAAGATTACCGGCATGATCTTCAATTCAAATACTCTATTTCAATGTTAGGCTACGTTTAGGCCCTGGAAAATAGGCTCTACTAGTCACAGGCTAAGCAAAAAAAGGAAACGATCTGCATTTCATAGATCTTAGCTTAGAGTGACTAAATATCAGATCTCCCAGGGGGGCAAGTTTCCACAATATGAATCTAAGTTGTACAGTGGTACTAGGACACAGACAATCCTGAGTCACTCAACTCAACTAAATTCAAAGAATGTTTCTATACTGAGATAGTCATTGTTCCATGGTGGACCTTGTCTTCCACTGCTTAAAATGTCATCCACATAACACTAAAGGTGTATTTAGAGTGAATCTGGCTTCTTATACAGAATTTTAAAAAATGATCTGTTTTGGTCCCAAGTGTACTGAGTTGCACATTAGTTTGATGCTTCAGTTCTGTTATGTTTTCATAAGTGTCAAGGCTGGATAAGAGTGCTCTATATGCTAGCTGTCACTCCAGACTGTAACTCAAAGGCTTAATAATCCTGTCATCTGAGGTATTTGTTTAATCCTTCAATCTTGACACTTGCCAGGTGTGATTTACTGAGCAGATTAAGTACTTTGCTCTTCCCATTGCAATAAAGACAGAGGTAATCTTTGCCTACAGACTTTTCCCAGCATAACCAGGCAAATCACAGATCTCTTTCCCCACTAAATGGAATCTGTTTGAGGCCTGAGCAAAACAAAAATATAAATGCAGGATTTGCAATATGATTGTTCTGTGGTGTTTTGATAGTCAAGACCAGTTTTTTACAGAATAAATATTAACTCTCTCTGCTGGACAGCATCTTGCTGTGCAGGGCCTAGTCCCAAGAGTCTCATTAAGGAGGTGGTTACCTAGGGTTTGGGTTTCTTTGGTTTACCTAGGTCCAAATGCTACATTTTTAGGTTTGTTAACTTCTCAGTTACCTTTTGTATTTTGGGATACGCTAGTTCTGTAAATATATTCTCTCCTATATTGAAGGGGTTTAGAATACACTTCTCATGTTGACCTCTCCTACTTTTAATCTGAAAATAAGAAAACAAAGTTTATGTATCACCTGGAATACTTTCTACTTTTATAGACTTGACTCATCAAAATCACAGCTAGTCTTTTATTTCTTTTATTTTTTTATTTTTTATTTTTCTCCCCAAAGCCCCTCAGTACATAGTTGTATATTCTTCGTTGTGGGTCCTTCTAGTTGTGGCATGTGGGACGCTGCCTCAGCGTGGTTTGATGAGCAGTGCCATGTCCGCGCCCAGGATTCGAACCAACGAAACACTGGGCTGCCTGCAGCAGAGCACGCAAACTTAACCACTTAGCCACGGGGCCAGCCCCATAGTCTTTTATTTTTTATTTATTTATTTATTTATTGGGGAAGATTAGCCCTGAGCTAACATCTGCTGCCAATCCTCCTCTTTTCTGCTGTGGAAGACTGGCCCTGAGCTAACATCCGTGCCCATCTTCCTCTATTCTATATGTGGGACACCTGCCACAGCATGGCTTGCCAAGCAGTGCTACGCCCACACCTGGGATCCGAACCGGTGAAGCCCAGGCTGCTGAAGCGGAATGTGTACACTTAACTGCCGTGCCACCGGGCCGGGCCCTTATTCTATAATTCTTAAATGTCAAACACAGTAAGGAAAGCTACTATGACAATCCAATAAAATAAATAAATAAAATTCTTAAATTAAAGCTGATATGGATTATATGAGCAGCTAAGACTTTTCACAATTTTAAAAATTATTGAAGATCCCAAAGAACTTTCATATAGGCTATATTTATTGATATTTACTGTATTATAAGTCAAAATTGGAAACTTCAAAAACATTAAATAATTAAAAAATACTAAACCCATTATATGTTAACATAAATAACATATTTTTATGAAAAATAACTATGTTTTCCTAAACAAAAATATTATGAGAAAAGTGGCTCTGTTCTAAATTTTTTCAAATCTTTTTAATGTATGGCTTAATAAAAGAGAACTGCTTTTGCATTCAATCTTTTACAATGTGTTATTTTAGTTAAAGCATATGAAGAAAATTTAGCCTCACATAGATACATAGTTGGAAAACAGAATCATTTAATAGCCTTTTTAGGTAAATGTGGATATTCTCCTTTGATTATACATCAAAATTCGGTAGGTGATAGTTTCCTAAAGGTTAATTGAAACATGAACTATAACCATATTACTCAACTTTTCATACTGTATTACATTAAATCCATTGATTTATCTTGCCCTTTGACTGGATCTTTTATTTATGCATGATTTTGTAATTCCATGCATTTGTCATTTAGAAAATATAAATTATACAGGTCTACCAAATGTTGACACATTTCACTAAACAATTAAAAAATACATTTGTTAATATCAACACCAGAAAAGTCTTTAAGTACTGGGAAGCTACCAAGCTTAAGATGGTGAATATAAGTTTTCCAAAATTCTAATTTTTATTTGAAAGTTTTGATTTTACCATTAGTAACAAATACTGTCAGCTGCTTTCCTTGAAGTAACAGGCTCACTTCATTCTGTTTTTATTCAAGAAATGTCTCCCAAATGCCTAAGTCTAAAAAACTTTAGTTTGAATGTTTTTCCTTCAAGTAAAAATAGTATTAGATATCTAACAAAAATGTCTAGTTTAGCTCACATTTAAATAAGTGCATGAGTACTTTTCCTTGAAGCAACCGTCATATTTGAACATGCTGCAGAAATGCTTTATGCATACTTCTCATTTTGTCACTCAGGATATTAAAAAAACAGGTACTCAAAGACTGAGAGTTAATAAAATTAATAATCTTTACTGTGTCATCATGGACATTCTTAAATGCAACTAGCTTTTTTTTTTTTTTTAGACAGAGTGCATAGTGGGGAAGAACTCAGTGACTACTAGCATAGTTTGATGCCACTGCCTTAATATGTGCTAAGGCACCAGCAATTCTACCCACCACTGTTTCTGCATCAGCAGTGCAAATGCAAACACAGTGCAAATGGCAAATAACATCTTCGTATTATCTTAAAATAGTTTTGACATTGTGGACCCCCAGGGTTCTGTAGGGCACTGAGAACCACTAGTTTAGGTAACTCAAGAAATGTAGAAACTTCATAGAATACCACAGCTTTTATTGTGCTTCTTAGAAAAGAAATTAATAGAGACTAGCTTTCTACCTTCCTGCTATTCATAAGGCAACAGTGAAGATGCAAGAGCATTCTAAAGCAACTACATGCAATAAGAAAAAAGTGGAAACAAGCCTCTGAAACATGTTAAATTTGCCTGAGTGCTTAATCCCAACAAAGAAAAGAAAAATACTCTATATAGCAAAGAGCTCAAAATTTTCTCTTTAGGTCAAAATTACTTAGGATTAGATTATACACATTACATATTATTATTTATGTCTTACCTTAGCTCTAGAGGAACTGACATTTTCCATATTTTCAATGCTGCAGATACAATTCTGTGAAACCTTCCGGCAAGCCACTCTGATATAGTCCCAGAAGCTACGAGGACTCTCATAACCAAACCAGGTTACTTGACCTTCAGGAGACAAATTGTAACACAAAATAAAAGAAAACTAGACTAGAAAATTCAACGAGCAAGAAGACTAAAATTCTGAAAAATAAAAGGAAACATAGTGTGCTACAGTGGAAAGGGCACTGATCTTAAATCTAGTCCTGTTCTACCCTTATCTAGTTGTGTACTATGGGCAATTTATTTAACAGATCTGGATTACAGATTCTCAACAACAAAATCAAACTAAATAAAATAAAAAGGAAACAGACACTAAAAAATCTCTTACAGTTTAATATCCTACTATTCTGATATAGTCTTTTAGATAGCACACAGAAAATGTTCTTTGTGGTTCTAGTTAAGCATTAATTTAAACATTAACAGTCACATTCTAAAGTTTTCTCTACCTAGAAAAATAGAAAAAAAAAAATAAGACAACGCTTTTCTTCCTCTTCATACGGATACTTCAAAGAAATGAAACATGTGTGGTATATCCTATATGCAAATATAATCAATTAGAATCCTATATTCACTGATTATTCATAATCTTCTACCCAACCATTCTCATCTATAATGCCATAAAGCTCCTCTTTAACTGTCATTCATCTGCTCTCTTCTAATTACCAACCCATGAAAAGTCCTTCGGGCATTTACCATTCTAATCTTCCAGATTTGGGTAATTTCGTGTCTGCTCATGAACAAATATTCTTTTGTGTGTATCTTATATTGGTATTCATATTTCTATGAAGGACTTTGAGTAGCAGGTCCAAGGGAGCCACTGTGTACTCAACATTTTTAAGTGAGATGTGAAAGACATCTTAAGACTTTATTTAGTAGTCTGGAATGATTACCTAGGGAAGTTGCTCAATCTTTTATTTTTCTTCTCCTCTCTCCCCAAAGCCCCAGTACATAGTTGTATCTCCTAGTGGTAAATCATTCCAATTCTTCTATGTGGGATGCCACCACAGCATGGCTTGATGAGCAGTGTGTAGGTCCATGCCCAGGATCCAAACCGGTGAACCCTGGACCACTGAAGCAGAGCTTGCGAATTCAACCACCTGGCCATGGGCCTGGGCCCGGCCCCGGGAAGTTGTTCAATCTTAATGTAGAAAAATTTGCTTTTATATGTTAAAATCTGTGCTTCTTCGTTTTGAATTAATTATTTATTTATCTCAAATCTTCTCTTGCCTAGTAATAGCTTCTCTCTAGCAACACAATAAGTTCCTGATCAGCAAGCACCATTTCAGGAGCAATGTCTGAAATGAGATTTGAGTGGCTCCCAACCATGTCAGCCCATAAGAACAAGTGGACTGCTTTTTAAAAATACTCATGCCTGGGCTCCACCAGAACTAAATAATCAGATTCTTTAGAGGAGAGCCCAGGCATTGGTATTTTTAAAAAGATTCTTCTGGTATTTCTAATAATATATTTATTGTTAATCAACCAATAGAAAGCCTACATATCATGACAGGTAACTCCTATTCATCATTTAGGACATTTTAAAGACCTCCTTTTCTTGTAAGCCATGTGTCATCTCTACAGTGGGTCAGTTTCCTGCTATGTGCTGGAATAGCACCCTACGCTTACTTATACTTATAATTATCTGTTTACTTGATTGTCTCACATATTAGGTGGTAAGGTTACTAAGGCAGAGATTGTGGCTTATTTGTCTCTAAATTGATCTCAAGCACTTGACATAAGTCTCCAGCACTTGGCTCAAAGTAGGCATTCACTAAATATTTGTTAAACAAATTGGTAAATCAGCACAAAACAAATCATCTTAATTGCAATGCATACAAAAATTTGAATTTAAAAATCTAATTAGTATCTTTTTATAGTAACAGTTCAATGACAACCTGGTATTAAGACATCTGCATGCTAGAAGTATCAAATATTCTAGACAAATATATTTACCTTTGTCTATATATAAAAATACAAAAGCAGCTAAAAATCCTTATTCAAATATCGCTTTAAAAATCAAATCTTACTACCAACAAATAGAAATCTATACATAGGAATATTTATAACTTCCCTTCTTCCTCTCAATCTCTCACCATCACTGTCCTTTACCCTCTCTCTTCTTAAGTTAAAAAAGCTCCTGGAACAGTGTCTCCATATAGTTTGTCCTTAGGGCAATTTTCCTATTACCAGTTTGTTACTCATTTGGAGAAGAGGCAGGATGCCTAGTGGTTAAGAATATGGGCTTTTGAATCCGGTGGACCTGAATTAGATCAGTTCCTAGCTATGTGATCTTGAGCAAATGACTTAACTTCACTCTATTATAAGTTTGAGTTTCTTCTATAATATAGTTGACAATATTGGTAGCACCTACATGATAACACTATTGTAAGGATTAGATGAGATATTGTATATGCAGCAGATAGTACACAGCATAGTACAGATGTTAATTATTACTACTGTGATTACTATTATCATACAAATAGTTAAGGACCCAAGCTCCCCTTGCACCACAAACTAAGTGGGAATGAGATGTGAAGTTTTTCCCATTACTTGCTTAGAATCTAGAAAAATCTTTAAAACTTACTCCCTAATCCAACCTTTTCCCATATTAACCATTCTAAATTTACCTCCCTAAAAGGTTTCTAGTCTTGAATAATTTTCCTTGGCTTCTATTAATTGGGTTCATTCCGTAATTTAAAAATGAGAGGTACAGCTGCCAGACTTCCCTCAGAAACAGAGTACTATACACTGGCAGGGATCTTAAAGAAAAGAATATCACACGGTTTCTCTGGTGACTTTATTTTAAACCTTCTCACGAGTCTGACATGGCTGAGGAAAATAATTTATGAGAAGTTTTAAAGTAAAGCTGTCAAAATCCAAAAGAATATAACAAAGCCCCATTCTGGAGGAAGGGAAACAAAGACATAGAAAAACTAAAAACCTAGTCTTAAACAGATAAGGAACAGGCACTAAATCCTTAGGATTCCTACTATGGGTAGGACATGCTCTCTATAAGACTTCACCCAAGAGATGATAACAAGATTTCCCAGGTTACCAACTGAGAAACTACATAATTAACAGAATGACATATCATCATGACTTGCAGGGCCTTACATAAACCAGTATTATCTTAACAACACTTTTATCTACTTAACAAACTAGATGTGAGGATGACTTGGCTTGATTCTGCCTTCCTTTCTCTTCTACGTACATCATTTCCAAAGTGAAGTTCTTAATTCAAGACACTGATCTTTCCACATTCCGAAGGAGCTGCTTTAACAGAAGGTGGATTCCCGTGTTAGAACCTCCAAACAAACTCCCATGTAAACTGTCTGTATATTCCAGAATTTTATTTAAATAATTTCTACATCTACGAAAGGGTTGAATTTAATTAAAAATAATAGAAGTATTCAATTGGGTATCTCAGAAATGATTATTTGAACATCACTTTTACTTAAACACAGATTACCTGTTAACAAAAGATGTACTTTGGGCTATTAGTCTGTAACCAATATTCAATGGGAAAATTAAAAAACAATGCTATGAGTAAATTATGCCTTTAAAAATAACTATTGAACAATCACTCCCAAGACATTCTCATTTCCTTTAAAAATAACCACAAAAGCAAATCACATAGCACAAAACTGACTAGTCTATTTCTTGAAGAAATTTTATTCCAGAGATATGCTAATAGAATTCTCTTTTTAAAGTTCTTGATAAGTATCTATACGTATATGTATAATATGCTTTCAACTATATGTGTCCCTAGAAGTTGACTTTTTACTAATGACAAAGTTAAACAAGCTTTTCAAAACTTATTTCCATCCATCGATCCAACTCTAATTCATTTTAGGCACAGAAATAAGTGGTGAAAAGTTTGCTGGACTAAAAGGCGATCTGCTGCTAACCAGCTATGTGAAGTCTGTCCCACTAAACTGCCTCATCTTCGGCACCTAAAAATAGCCTGTGATCTCCAGGTCCAATGTTATTCTAAATTACTCTTCTATACTATTTAAGTTAGACATCTATTCACATCATGCACTGTGTGTGTGTTTTGCTTATATCTTATTTTATGGCCAGAATGAGACCTTTTAAGAACAAGAACTAAAATTCCTAAAGTAGTTCTCTACTAAGTAGTGGCTAATGACTAATGACACCTCACGTTTTGACAATATAATATAAAATATAAATGAATCTGTTAAGTGATTTCCTTTCTCCACCCTTTGTATTAGTTCTTACCTATGTTAAGACCAAATGAAAAACTGGTCTCACAAGTGGAAGTTCTGTTAGTGTTACAATACATCACCTAGATGATAATATCAAAGACTACTACCTTGGAGCTGCTATTCATCTAGACAAGCAATAAAAGATAGTCCCATCAGCTTTTCATAAACCACTCTGATCTCTCTGCAAAAGTTTTCAGAAACTTAAACAAAACTGGTTATCTGTGGATTTGTTGTTGCCAATATATTAATATTTAGATTTTTAACTTTTCATATTAAATTTTATAGCAGCAATCCTAAATTTCTTACTGATAATTTATGAAAGTCAGTTTAATATTTTCCATTATCTTTTTACTAAACAGAAAAAATTCCCATTTCTGCAAGAGGTCAGAATCTTTTCCTTTAAAAAAAAAGTACTATTATTAGTTGAGGCTCATATTTATTAGACTACCCAGCTTTAAAACTATGACCTTAATTTTCTAAATAAAGTCTCATATTAAAAAATATTCACATTCTAAAAAAGAAAACAAATTTAAACACTTTAAAAATAACTTTACACTTTAAGCTGAATCTTAAGAAGTCTGAGTCTAGATTAGATACTTAATTGCACTTCTATTGCCAGCTCTGTATGTTACTTACAGGATGCCTCAAGTAAATCATTTAGCAACTATGAATCACAGTTACCAATATATAAAATGTAATTATTATCTTTCGTTACTGACGTCTTGTTCTTGGTAAGGAATTTATCACAAAAACTTATCTAAAGTATGCATCTATACCATAAAAATTAGTTAATTCTTAATCTTCAAAAAAAAGTTAAGATAAACAGGTTCAACAAAAGTCTGAAAATTGAATTTGACTTAATAGTCTTTTTTTATCCCAGTAATTTTACCATCTTTCCAAGTAGAGTACACAGGTTTTGTTTCTTTCTTCCACCAGTGTTTTTAACACAAGGTTTGGAATATTGGCAAATTGACTTAGAGTACCAAAGGCTGAAGTCCATAGAGAGAACTATGGCATAAATGTGTAGTCCTGAAGAAAGCAAGTGTAATTTGTTTCGGTAGTGATTGAGGCTACACATAGGGAACATAAAACAAAAGATATTGTTTAAAAATGATTACTTGTGGGAATTAGGATTAAGGAAATGAGAAAATATTCATTTTCTACTTTCTATCCTTTGTCTTACTGTAATCTTTAAAAATAATGACTACGTATTTCTTTTCTAGTTAAAAAATATAACAAAAGGCTAGGTCATAAGTACAGAGGACTAGCAGTACCTTGCATACAGCAGGAAATGATTTTTAAAAGTTCTGAATAATTGAATAAAGGCATGATTCTGCCAGGGAGAAAGGAAACTAAGGAATATATCCCACTAATAGTTTAAGAATGGCAAAGTGGTCATTGTTGATAGTGCCCACGTATGTTTTACTGAGTGACTTCGGAAAATTCACAAGCTTCCCTGACCCCTAGTTTAATACAAATGTAATAATATTACATTTACAATGTAATACAAATATTATTACATAGTGCTCACAAAATTGAGGAAATAACCACTAAATCTTATATCATTAAGAGTTATAATAAAATATAAATAACACAGATATGCATGATTAATAAAATAGTGCTTAAAACCATGGAACTTAATAGAAATATGAAGGGGGTCACATGGGAGAGGGAGAGTAAGTGGATTATTATATTGTGTGGGTTTACAAGAAGATTTTAATTTAAAAGTTAGCATAAGCATACTTCTACCCTCTTGATTAGCAAAAACAAAACCAGAAAGCTTTGCAAAACCCATGCAATGTACTAAAAAAGATCACTTAACTGATACAGCCCTCCCCAGTAAGTCAATTCCATGCTCCCGCGCAGCTCAGTGGCGGGAGGCATCACCAGCATAGAGTACCTTGAAGAGGTATTTGGAGATGAGCCAGCCATCTGCAACTTTGGGAAATCTCTTTAAAAAAAAATAAACAACAACAACAACAACACACAGATATTTAAGAAACCTGCCATCGTTTACAATTGCAAACTGAATAGCCCAAATAAGATGGCTAACATATAATCTTGATGTAGTAAACACTACTCTTACCTAATAAGTAAAATGAACTCAATTAAGATGAATATGAACTTTACTCAGCACGCAAATCAAGCTGGTCCCTTATAGCCTATTCTATTGGAGAGGGTGTATGTAAGTCATAGAAACAGTGGAAGCAAGTTCCCTGTTTACTTTCACCTCCATTATTCTTTTCCAAACATAATAAACTGATGATGACAGAATGCAAAATGAGCAAAAGCTTGACTGAATTTGTTAGCTTTGCACCTTAGGATTTGTAAGTTCTCTCTCTCTTTTTTTCTTTTTGGCCCAAGAAGAGTTAAAGCTGCTGTTTTTTTTCTGAGTTATGAGAACAGCACTTAGATATCTAGTAAAATGTTCTTCAGTTTAACCAACATTGACTAAATGCTTACTTTATACAAAATATTGTTTTATTCCATACAGCCTCCAAATATTGCTTAATAATCACCATTTGGAAAAGTACTATAAATTCTTGCTAGGTTATTTAGAAATTCCTAGTACAATTTACAGGAAAACTTCAAAGCCAAATTTCTGAAGTCACATTCCCAACAAATGATATTTTCTTCTCTAGTAGCAAACACTGAAATCTCTAATAGGACATGGTCCCACACCATTCCAAATACTTAGACCCTTTATGAAACCAAATAAAAACCAAACAAACACAGTCAGTAATGTATGAAAAATGAAAGAAGGAGATATATACAGTTGTGCTAATGGCTACATCTATGTCTCTATCATTCACTCTCTATCCTCCAACCTCCTTTTGTAACATTTTAAACAAATATTAAATTTGGAAACATATATCCAAAAGGATCTATAATTTGGTACCCTAGTTGAAATTCATATTAGAACATAATGCTCTTACTGCAACTACAACAAAAATGAAAATTTCTCAGCATTAAAATGAAAATCCTAAGAGAATGCTCTTCACTCATAAGAACACCAATTCTTAATGTTTAAGCCACATTTACTATCTCTGTCCTGAAAACAGTTATGTATCTTATGTGTAGTCATTTACATAATTAAAAAGTTATCAAAGTAGAAACAATTTCCAAGAAAGTCTTACTTAATGGAGTTTTACTTCAAAACAATGTATCAAATAAGATATGTCTAAGTTTATGTCATGGCTTAATCAATTCCTGGGATAAAGTCGAAAACAATTACTAAATCTATTATAAAACTCAATTTATAGATTAGAGGGTTTTTTTTAAAAGCTGTTAGTATGTTACATTTTATGTTTATGCCCTGATTATGCATATTATTTTGATCTTGGCTGTGAAACACTATGTGAAAATTTTAAAACTTAAAATATTTTCACTTATTTGTAGGCATTAATTGCTTTAAAAGCAACCAGAAGCATCCAGACCAAATGACAATTCACTAGATTTCAAAGTATCTGTGGTCAAATTTCAACACTCTTTTCATTTTATAGACGGGAAAAGAGAGGCCCAGAGAGAGTCTGCCTAGTGCAGCACATCTCTGTTCCCTGTAGCCTCATGCTGATCTACTCTTGGCAGCAGACAAGATCTGACAGATGGAGGAGAATCAGCCACTTGGTTATGAGGTCTTACTGATAGCCTCAGAAATAGGAAAAACAATGGGGCAGTAAATGTAGTGTGACTGAGAGGAATATTTTTCATATAAGATTTAAATTCTCAGCATAGTTGCTGCCAAAAAAATATATATGTAAGTGAACAACAAAGCTAAAATTATCTCAAAGTGGTCCAAGTAGTGCTTGTTTGTAGAAAAAGTTTTCAATAGCAACTGAAATAAAACTTTTTGTTTTAAAATATATAATATTAAATATTTATTTATATATTTAATTTAAACATTTATCATAAGTATATTAAGTAAAATTTATTTAAATACTTAAAATACATAATATTAAGAGAAAATGTAACAGTATCTTACCATTGAGTACCTTAGAAAAACAACTGAGACAAGATCAAATAAACAGAAACTGTTTTGTTGAAGAACAGAATTCATTCAAATGTACCATTATAAATATATATATAGTTATTGGTTTTATTTAGTTAGTTTCTGAAATTCCAGACAAAAGAAAAAACTGCTCAGAGATGAATATGCAATAAAAGAATGCTTAATCATACTAAAGATACAGTATTTTCTGACCCAGAAAGTATATTTTCAACAACAAATAACTGAAAACAAATGCAACTTTATAATCTTTTTATTAATGTGGAAATAGGCCCTCATACAGAAAAGATTACTGACCACTCCTTTAAACGAATGAATCTGCCTTGGTGATGATTGAATATAATTCTCATCTATGAATATGATATTTATTCTTCCATTTTTTTCGTTACCCCTTGTTCCAACTTTAGCTTTCTATTCACTTTGATTTCTTTGATGACTGAGCTACATTAACACAATTGATAAAATATGATAAATGTCAACAACTATGTAGAAAGTGAACTTTTTGCCTTTGCTATATTTAGTCTAATTTTCTCTCTTTCTCTGTGCAATGTATATATTTTTCTAATAAAGTTACAGGTAGGTGACTTTATTTTTAAATAACCCAAGATGGATACTTGAAAAGACCCCTAGATGGAATGATTTGTAAATTGACTGCCATTTGTAAGGCAATTAAAAATGATCAGATAGTAATTCAGAATTTTCACAAGTTTTCTTTTTAAATTGGCAATACCAGATAGAATATATTCTTCTGTCAGTGATAATATTAACACAAGTTCTTACTGTTTGAAATTTTGACTCTTATCATTCTGTGAAGCAATATTTACAATTGAGATATATACTGTAATTCAGCTAACAATGAAACGATATCTGTTTTTCCATGTGGCCATTTTTTCACTTCTTAATAGGTCTGAAATTCAAATGTAATATTAAATATAACTTATCTTAAACTTTTAAAAGATTGTTTTAGGGGCCAGCCCTGTGGCATAGTGGTTAAGTTTGGTGTACTCTGCTTGGGTTCGTGGCCTGGGTTTTCAGGTTCGGATCACGGGCAGAGACCTACACCACTCGTCAGCCATGCTGTGGTGGTGACCCACATATAAAGTGGAGGAAGACTGGCACAGATGTTGGCTCAGAGCTAATCTTCTTCAAGCAAAAAGAGAAGATTGGCAACAGATGTTAGCTCAGGGCTAATCTTCCTCAGCAAAAGAAAAAAGATTACTTTAAAATGCCATTTAGGGAGCTGGCCCAGTGGTGTAGTGGTTAAGTTAGCACATTCTGCTTTAGCAGCCCAGGGTTCACTGGTTTGGATCACAGGTGAGGACATGGCACCACTTGGCAAGCCATGCTGTGGTAGGTGTCTCACATATAAAGTAGAGGAAGATGGACACGGATGTTAGCTCAGGGCCAGTCTTCCTCAGCAAAAAGAGGAGGATTGGCAGCAGACGGTAACTCAGGGATAATCTTCCTCAAGAAAAAAGAAAAAAAAAGCAAATATTTTACATTTGAAAAGTCATAGTAACTTGCAAGGAAAGAACTGTAGGAAGAATTTTAATAAAATAAAAATATTAGATTACATTAATGACAACTCGTTAAAATCAGAAGGATGTAGGAACTGAAATTATTATGATGTTCTCCAAAATGAACTGAAGTCCATTAAATTGTGCAATCTTTTCCCTGTTCCATAGAATGAGAAATATTTCTTTACTTTAAATGAGCAATATTTGGGCATTAAAAGTGATCAGAACTGTTGCAAATATTAGGTAACAAAAAAAAAATTTAACAAGAAAGCAACTTTCCATTACTTACAATAAACAAAATATGACTTGATAATCACAAGTACTGTGAGTTGCTCTATGCTTTATGCTAATTTGTAAAAAAGGTCAAACTGGAAATGTCCCATTATTTTTCCGGCAGAAACTCAAAAGCTTACAAACACAAATAATCAAACAAAAACCATCAGAGAGACCATCAATTCTTGCTAAATCCAAAAATGTGGACTATCTGGTAGAATCATAAATTTCTTTAACTTTGTCATATATTAAAAAAAGACATTTAAAATATCTTATGCAATGGAGTCTTTTCATAATATTTTCTTCTATGTGGTACACTCCCTAGAAGTCAAATCTAAATATGGAGTCCTTTGATTTGAAGGCTTGTGAAAGTGAAGTTCATGTAAAATAAACTTGAAAAATTCTCCAGAGATAACAAAGCTTAAAACCATTAATAAACCTCTCATTTCTATAGAAAAATGAATATTTAAATTTTGGTGCTAAAATGACTTATTGAAAATTCTGGTTTGTTTGTAAAATATAAAGACGATTTTTGTCTATATCTCCTAATACATACAAATACTTCAGATATTTTCTTGCTCTTCACCCAGAAATGCCTCCAGCAAATACAGTAATTAAGAGTGCTATGACAATCATACAGCTCCTAACAGAAGCAAGTAACCAAGTATGTGGGGATTGTGAGTTTTAGAATTTTAGACATTCAAGATTATATATAATATTACAAAATTAAGAAAAATATTTCAGATGTTTCAAAACAGAAATAATAAACCCTCAAGAGAAAAATGAGAAGCATAAAATGAAATAAACTATCAACAGTAACTATGTAAGAAGACTAATATCAAGGAAGAAAAACAGGTCATTATTGACCAAAATGGGCTACATAAAAACTAGTTCCACATGATGTGAATAGTTTTTTTCTATTCTAGGGTAAGTAAGAAAATTCACTCCACAAAAGAAATAGACAAAGGTCATAATCAGGAAATTAGGGAAAAAAGAGTAATAAATATGAAAATATATTAAATCTCATTTGCAAATAAATACAAATGAAATAATAAAATATTTTATATATTTCATACTAGTAGAAGGCCAAAACTATTTCCCCTTATCAAACTAAATATTAAAAATATTAATAATAATGGTATGATGAGGATATGA